TATTTAATTTTTTATGCAACTTAATAGTTAAAAAGTGCATTAATTACACTTTTAATTGTTTACTTAAGGTAAATATTAAAAGATTTTTTTAACTAACTTTTTTTTGTCACAAATACATATAAAAAAAATCTAAAAATTGATATTGATTTTAATATTGATATCAATAGATAAATTTAATTGAATAATTGATAAATTAAAAGTTAATTTTTATTTTTTTAATACAAATTTATAATAAAAAAATATATTTAATAGATCATATTAAAAAGCCCTCTATTAAAAAAAACTTTTTTAACATGTGCATCTTTTCATTATTAATTTGTATAAAAAAATAAAAATTGACTACAATTTTATTAACTATCTAATTAAAATATTTCATTTGGGATTGGTATTAAAAATATAATTTACTTTCATAATTTTTTATATAAATTGTGAAAAAATACGATAAATATACTCTTAACCATATGTTTTAAAACCTATTAAAGAAACTCATTAAAATAATCTTAACAACTTTTTAAGTTAACTTTATGACACCTAAAATTTAACAAAATTTAACATTAAATTATCAGTAATAATGAATCTTTACATTTACATTTCTAATCAATATAAAATTTAAAGCATCATAATTTATTAACATGTATACTTACTAATACATTATATAGTAGTATTAAATATAGTTCACCTCTCTAACTAAAAATTGTTAGTTCATAATAATTGGGTTAAATGTGAATTACTGTAAAATTAAATAAATATAGGAGATAAGATTAGAAATTAACAACATAAATAAATTGAATTTGAAAAAAGAAGTGGAGCAGGACATTGACGAAAGGGTGCTTCTCTCCTCCTAGATGTCAGCACAAATGAAAAAAAAAAAAAATTGCAAGAAATGCTTTGACAATTGACCGTTTGTGGATTAAACGGTTCAAATGGACAACTAAGGCAACTCCGTCAGAAAAAGGATGACAACGAACAAAATAATTGGAGTACAGGACGACACTTGGTGCTTTTGGTGAAGTAGAGGGATGACAATGAACAAATCCTTAGTAGAGGGATGGACATGAATAAAAGTCAAAAGTAGAGGGATGATGGTTGGCTTTAACCCTATATTTTTCCGAAAACTAATTTAAACGGAGTCGTTTGGTTCATAAACCCAAAAATAAGTTGAAATCAAACCCTTCTTTCACCAAATCATGATATGTGAGGGAAACCAAACCCGTCGATTGGCCAGGGGGGATGTGGTCTGGGTGTGGTCTACACGGCTGACAGCAAGGGCTTCTTTGTTACAACGATTAAAATTTAAGGGGTGACAAATAGCAGATAATAGATAATGAATAACAGTAGCAAGAAATGATAGCAAACAACGGATAACAATTAACAGATAACGAGTAACGAATAGTAAATAGTAAATTTGATAAATATAATTGTTTGGTTATATAATAGTTAATTATTATTATTTAATATTAAAT